TGACTTCTGACACTGTAAGCAACGTTGGCACCTGCAGATACCACTGCATGGGACCTTGCTCCTCCCAGACCCCCCCCCCCATCAATCCCCACAGTGTCTCTATCTGATACAAGTGGCTGTCCAGCTCCTTCCCACTTTTGTGGAGTCTCAGGATCTCACCCTGTCTCTTTGGCTCCTCTACTGTCCACATGGATGCTCTGTTACCAAACTAGCCCCAGCTGGTCTGTGCCTCACATTCCCCTCACATTGGTCTTAGGAATGACATCTTTAAGAAATTATGTCCTGAATTAGTGAGAACATCCCTTCGGGTCTGGAGTTTTTGTCTTAAAGTCCAGGAGCAATTGTAGGAAACTATGTTTCAAATTTTGGTTTGAGACTCCAGAATTTCTTTAATTCGTTCCTGCATTTAACATGCACCAGACCCGGGCTCGGGATCAGCACACCCCTAGCTGAAAGACAGAAGCCGTTGCTAGGAAGCAATTTTTCTGGTTAATTAAAAACAAAATAAAACACCCCTCATGATTTTATAGTCTTCCTAACAAAATTGGCTTCAACCAGCTCAGCTCAGTTCAAAGAAACCATTCTTTCTGATACGCCCTGGAGCTCCGCCGGGCTCCGCCGGGCTCCGCCTCCTCTGGTCTCCGCGGTTCACAGCCCCCAATCCCACCCCCAGGCACCCTCGCCACCGCCGGTCCCTCTCCACTCCGGGTCAAGTTCGTCCGTCTCACTCCGGTCCGGACACCCTGAGCACTGGCACCGCCCTCGCCGCCTTTCCCACACGTGTCCCGCTGAGGTTCCAGCACACACCTGGGGTGACCAGTCTTCGCGCGTCCATGTTCGGGGTCTGCAAAGGACCGGACCCTAAAGGGCACTTGGGCTCCTTCGCGGAGTCCTGATGGTCGCCCAGACCGCCAGTCCGCCAGCATGGAGTCCACGGAGGTCACGACCCCCGGTTGACGGCGGAGTCCCAGCGTCCCGGAGTCCCAGCGTCCCGGAGTCTCCGGGTTCATAACGTTCGCGCGAGCCCGGGAAGCGACCGTGGGACACGCGGGGCGCCCGACCAGTTTGCTTCAGGCCTCCTGTTTCGGATGCTCGGCCGCGGCACGGTGAGTATCCCACCTGTAAGGCGCCGCGGTAACGGCTGACTCACCAAGGCGATCCGTCACTGTGCTGAGCACCGTCTCTGTGGCGCAATCGGTTAGCGCGTTCGGCTGTTAACCGAAAGGTTGGTGAAAGGTTGGTGGTTCAAGCCCACCCAGGGACGATGGCTTTTAGCCAACAACCTGCACCCTCTTACATCCTTCTCAAAAATTCGGGAAGCCCACGAGAAGCCCTACATCACTTGTCTAAGCCGGGCCTCTGGTAGTGAAAACAAAAGAGTCGGCTTTTATTTTGACGGAAAGGAGGACACCTGTGTACAACCCTCTCCTGTTGTCTTTGGTTTATGGAGATGGGTAGAGTGGGAATCCTTTCTTAATAAAGGAAAATTACGGACAAGTCACCAAAGCACAGGAAACCAGACCAGATTTTAATAAAACAGGCAAACTACTTTACAACACTGGCTAAAGATACGCTTATGACAAGGGCGACCGTAACGTAATTCGTAATCACAAAATCCTAGAACCGATTTGGAAACACACACACACACACACAACAAAAACTAAAAAAAAAAAAAAAAAAAAAAGAAAAGAAAAGAAAAGAAATGGGCAGGCCGGGTCGTGTTTGGTAAGGAGTCTAGGGATTGGCAGGAAAGGTTTTGGCCTCTGCAGATAAGAGGCGTCTACGGAGGCTCTGGACCGCTGGGTGGTTTGCTCCCCAGCTCTTCGGAAGGACCCCAGAGCAGTGCGTGCCCTCCCCAGGTGCCCCAGACACCGTGGAGAGGAGGGAGATGGGGGGCTATCAGGCGCTGGAGAGAAATACTGCACCTGCAAGAGTGGCATCGACCCACCGACTTCACAGTTAGCGACTGCCCTCACCACCCAACCGAGGCACCGACGCCTGCACTCTGTGCCGCTCCCAACCTCAGTGGCATTGGAAAAAATCACTTCTGCTGGACAGACCGGTTGAAGGAAGCCTCGGAAACCTGTCCGCGCCGTGCTGAGCTTGACTGAGGCTCAAGCGAGGTCCTACTACAGTCAGACGTGTGGCTGGCCGTGATCGTATAGTGGTTAGTACTCTGCGTTGTGGCCGCAGCAACCTCGGTTCGAATCCGAGTCACGGCAGTTTGTTGTCCTGTCTGGTGTGCTGCTTTCTTGCCCCCAAGCACCCAACCCAGTCTCCTTAGTTCAAGAGGAACTCAAAAACACTATTATTACAGTTTGCCAATTCACGCTGTCTCAGGTGGACTCACAAAATCACCTTCACTGTCAATCACCCGAAGACCCAGGGCATCATCTTTGAGCAACACCCTACCTCTAGTTTTGGTCATGTCAGCGAGATGCAGGGTCTGAATGTTCCTATCTGGTATTTGTCTTAGTAATAACACATTAGTGGGAAATCTTGTTTTCTATGTCCTGTCCTCCCCTTTATGTGTCCTCCCCCCATTCCTAGTGATGGCTCCTAGTAATGGAGTCTCAACTGACCATCTCCTTCACCAGGCAAGGATTCCAGTGGTAGGACTGGGCTGCATTCAATTCAGATGTGGGTCAAGGGTGCCCCATGGAAATCTCCAAACCACCCAGGCTGCTGCTAAGACACAGGGCTGCTCTCCAGAAACTGCCAGCGGGTCCATTGCTGAGGTAACATCCACACATGACATGGGGATCATCTGGGTCATACAGGAAGCCTGCATCCCTACCTTCTAGTCTCTTGGGTAAGGGAGGGTACTCTACGGGTTATCGAAAGAGAAAAGCAGACGCCAACCAACCCAGTCACAAAACCCTTCAACTACAAAATGTCCTGCCTACAAAATATGAAGGACAATGGTGGCACAGAACTTGTGGGAATAGCAAACCAGTGTCTGAATTGACTTAAGGCACACTCCACCAGAAGGAACTCATATCCAACAAATGCCTGGGTAACCAAGAACCAGAGTAGATAGGTAGATAGTAGATAGCCCAGTAGTAGTCATCCCAGAGACAGAGACCAAGGGTAAAACCATACACTACTGGTTTCTGGGTTTCAAATATTGGGCTACCAACTATCTATCTATCTATCTATCTATCTATCTATCTATCTATCTATCTATCTATCTACCTGTCTATCTACCATATCTCTCCTTGTTTATAGTCTTGCACAGAAACACTCTCCACAGGAGGTATGTGGCCCTTTTACTCCAGTTAGTCATAAGGCTCCTCATAATAAAACTTAGACTATCAAGAGGGGTTTCTTACCCCACCTCTCTACCCACAATAGGGTCTTCTCAAATTCTGCCTTTGATTAGACAGTCCTAAGCTGCATTGTCAATCTAGATGAGAGGTGAAGAAATCCATTCCAATCAGACAGTCAGTGATGCTGGGGCTGGGTCCGGAACCTGTGTGAGCCCTGCATGGATGTGTGGCAATTAGCATGCCTGCTTCATGTGCCTGTCCCTACAGGTCTCAAGAAACTTCTGTCTTTGGTTGGGGGTGATCCAATCTACTGACAGAGCACATAGGACTGAAAGGACAAAGTCAAGGGCAGGCACTGGAGAGATGGCTTATGCATTAAGAGCACTTTTGGCTGTCTAAGAAGACACAATGACAGCAAACAAACCTCTTTAATGTGCTTTCCAGGTGGAAACCACTGCCCTCATCTGGACACTGTGGGAATTGTATGTATGTGGTGGCAAAACACCCACAAGCAAAACAAAATGACCCAACATGTCTTGGGACAGTCATCCCAGAGACAGACATTATTTCTGCTGTGCGGTTATAACTTTTGCATATCACTCATATTTCAAGAAGAACAGAGGCAGATTGCATTGCATTTCCTGATTTCTTTTGTACATTCCTTTGTTGAATGTTTTCATTTCCTGAGAGGCCAGGAACAATGTAGTTGTGTGAAGTCAGACGCTCCTTTGTATGTCGTGAATATGTTTTACTACTATTGGTTAATAAGGAGGCTGATTTTGCCAAGAGTCAGGCAGAATATATCTATGCAAATCCTAATAGAGAAACAGAGAGAAGGAAGGCAGAGTCCAGGAGATGTCATGTAGCCACCAGAGAAGTAGGATGTCAGAGAATTAGTGATAAATCATAGCCATGTGGCAATACACAAATTAATAGAAATGGGTTAAAGTAAGAACTAGCTAGTAATAATCTGATTCATTTGCCGAATAATTATAATTAATATTAAGCCTCAGAGTAATTACTAAACAGTCATGGGACAGGGCAGAACACAAAAAAGCTTCTGGCTACAGTTAGTTGTGTTTCCCTTTAGTTTGCTCTGCATGATGATGTCATGAACATGTTGTACAGTGTGTGGACCACATTCTACTGAAGCTAAATATATGACCCCGAGGATGCAATATGTCTAGTTTCTCTGTAGACTAGTGGTTATATACAGAGTAGGCCATGCCATCCATATCCATATCCAAGGTGCCAATCTGCCTGTGTAGACCATGGCTGGGAAATCACTGTGCAGCCCAAGTTACCTGGAACTTGCTGATACAGATCCATGCCTGTGAGGTGTGGGTTTACAGAAGTGTGACAGCTCACCTGACTAAAGAAGACTCTTAAGAGTGAAATGTTGGAAATAGCTTTTAATTCATAAAACATTCATTTTATTCAATGGGGGTGTAAACAGTCATTATAAACAGTGTATAGCCTTAGCAAACTATTAAAACAATGGAAATAATAAAAGAAAACAAAAACTTTCACTAAAATGAAGAAAACCAAAACACTAATGCACAGATATCCCAGGATATAAATGAAACCAAACCAAACAATCTAAAGCATAACAAAAACAACCAACCAAATAAAATTAAGCAAATTTCCCACTTTCCCTTGAAATATTCTTTAAGAAAAAGCAAATCAATAGCATGAGACAGGAGGAAGTGGATTCGTCTCTGTAGGGAATTATCATCACCAACACTTGTGTGTGATATGGGGTAAGCGTCAGCTCTGCACTAGAGAGAGAATCTTGGGCTTTAGGGTGTGGTCTGTCTGGATAGCAGTGTGACAGAGTCTTCCTTGTCAGATTCCACATCACATATGGAGTCAGCTTGCCAAAGCCATTGACAGTAGCTGACAGAATGACTCTTGCTCACCCAAGTATCTCCCTCCATGTTGTTTTGCCCACTTGGTGATGGGTGTTCTGCTTCTGACTAATTTGTGGGGTGTCCTCTGAATGTCAAGCTTATTTCTGATGCAGTCTTTTCTCTGGAAATCGTGAGCCAACAGAGGTGCATCAGATTGTGGCTGGATACTCTAATGATTGATTGATATTTGCCTCAATGTTGTGCTCACAGCAGAAAGGGACATGGTTTTTCAGAGGAGGGCTGGATCCTGGAATGTAGAATGTCATGCCTTCAAGGTGTCTCTGGTTTCCTCCGGGCTTCTCAGTTCTCTTACGAGATGCTGTCAGAGAAGAAATAGAAATCAGACATAGAAACAGTCTCTCTGGGGCACTGGTAAGAATAAAATCAGGGCTATTCACACCTAGTAAGGAAAAGTCAAGGAAGAAAACCCACACCGTGAACCCCTGGATGGTGGGAATGGGGCTCAATGGTGGCTCACTTGCCTGGCACATAGCGCTCCAGCTGCAGCAGCTCCATCGGCAGGAGGCTCTCCTCCTGGGCTGTGGTCTGTTCCAGTTCATGCTGGAGATGTTCAAACCTAGAGGAGGAAGGCAGCTGGGACACAGGCCAGGTGGGGCCCTGCCATGTCAGCTTTTGAGTCCCCACCAGCCAGACAATCCATCATCACCTTTTAGCTGAGCTCATTGACTGCTTCCCCAAGGGAAAAGTATCAGAGCAAACCTGGGCTGGATTTTTTCCTCAACGTTTAAAAACTGCTATTAGTTGAACTGCAAAATACACTGTTAACAACATATTTTTCCAACAGTCCAAAAACTTTATTTTGGAGGAATATCAATGTCTGAGTCAGATATTCCTGGCTTTAATTAGACACCAGGTGAATGTGAGCAACCTGTCAAACTCTATGTCTGCCCTCTAGTGGAGCCCACACAACACTGCAGAGAAGGCTCTGATTATCCCTACAGCCCAGAACCTGCATGGGGTTAATTTGTCAACTCCTAATCTGTTTATGGCAGAGTAAATCTTCTCAGAGGAAACTGATGAACCCTGCAGAGAGCCTGCATCCAGCAGGGTTGCGCTGCATTCAAATCAGCCACAGACTAGAAACTTCTAAATGTGATGTTCCTGAAGGAAAATAAAGTGGCAGAGGACACACTGTCCTTCACAGTTGACCTCCAACTTCTCACAGGAGAAGAAGGGGACAGAAACCCCAGAACACCAAAACCAAACATATTGTTTTCTTGACAAAAGTTCCCGGTGATTAGCCAACTTGATACTCTGAGATATTTTTTCCCTGAATGTGGGAGGGACCTTGCCAAATAGACTAAAACCCAAACAGGTCAGAGACCCCGAAACAGAGAATCCACTAGACCACAACTGCTTCTGTCAGTCCGTGCTCGTACCTCGTCTGGGACTCAGTGAAGTGATGCTGCAGCTTTACTGCCAAGTCCCTTTGCTGGGTAACCAGTTCCTTCTGCTTCAGTAGGAATTGAAGGTGTTCCTCCAGTCTTTGATGTTCCTATTCATTAGAGGATTGTGTTCTTAGGGCAGGGTTGTCTGCGCACATGTACACATGTGTGCTTGCATGTACACAAACTCAAACAAACACACTTACACAGTCCTGATCATCACAAGTACATGGATGCTCACATACAAGCACACTGCACTGCGTTGCATCCTCATGTGTAGTTCCTAGCTAACAATATGGAAGAAGAGATCACCTGGGATCTTCTAGTGAAGAGAGTTAACTTTCATTAGCCCACACCTTCTCCCCCCCCCCCCCCCCCGTATTCTAAACCAGGCAAAGGGATGTGGTGAGGATTCTGTAACTTTGCTCTGTTTTGATAATTATCATTCTATTTATGCTTTATAAGTGTGGGTGTTCTGCCTGCCTGTGTTTCTATGCACCACATGCACGCCTGGTCCCTGGGAGAAGAACATAGTGGGCAGAGCAGTCAATGTAGTGCTTGCCTTGTACACCCAGGCCACAAATGGTGGATGCCAGGGTTCCCTGACCAGTTATCTAAGCTTGCATACAAGTTTTTGAGTGTGTACATTGAAGTCTTAGTTCCGTGGTCCAGGACCATTGCCTAATGGTGGAGCAGCCCCTTCCTCTCACTCAGTGATTCCCTGTGGCAGCTTCCTCCAACAAGAAGTCACTAAACCACAGGTTACCTCATTTTCGGCCCAAGGAGTTCAAGCAAGGAGCTCAGAAAGCCAGAAAATCTCTACAAGCAGGAGTCAAAAAAAAACTTTCCGTCCAGTATGATGATTGTGTCAGGGATTTCTCTAAGTAACAGAAGGCTGACTGACTCCTGGTCAAATAGTACATCTATTACTTCATACTTAACAATATTCTATGGAAGGGCTTGACTTCATTGAATGTTTACTCATCAATGTTGGGCATTTGAATATTTTCTGGTTTGGGTTGCTCTGAGGAATGCTTCTATAACCCAGGTGTCCCCTAGATTCTCTGTGACCCTTAATTCTCATTTTGAGATTACTGGATCATTTGGAGACTGCAATTCAAGTTTCTGAAAAATTATACATAGATTCTCACAGTGCTACACAATTTTCCTTCCTAGCAATATCTGAGGATCCTCATTTCTCCCAACCTCCATCAGGCCAACTTTAACTCAGTGTAAAGAAGCTCGGAATGCAAGCAGCTTGTGAGCGCTGCAGACACAACATGCAGTGAGTGCTTTAGACGATGATGAGCCTGAGTGGGCTGCACTAAGACAGCCTGTTCTCACAGCTCAGCATGGCTATGGGACTTCTGCTGGGATACACCTCAGCAGTTCAGCATCTCTTAAAGACTAAAATCCACACCAAGATCCAGAAACAAAGTGAATCAACTCAAGATTGGACAAAGGTGAAAGGAAAATGGCAGCAGGCACTGATGAGGAGAACAAAACAGGATGCAGAAGTCGTTAGTGGGCAGTCACCTTTCACCCAGAACACAGAAGGTCACATATCCTTAACCGGGGTTTCCTGCTCTTAGGCACCTTGATTCGCCTCAGCAGCCTCTTTCTCACCTTCGTTACCTGCGTTACCTTGGTTTTCTACAAAGGTTTTCTTTGCAGATGAATATTTATGTCTCTACAAACACCTGACAAACTTTTAGCTTGTATCAGTTTTGTGGTCCTTTGTTCTAGTTAGCTGTGTGGACATGCCAAAAGATGGGAGCTCCATGTGCTCAGTGACTGATGAAAACTGATGCTAACCAGAGCAGGAACAGTACTTTCTATTAACACTGGTCTCCATCTTCCTCAAAGATGTCCATCATTCCATGAGTGAACATACATATATTGTCTCAAACACATATTCTGAAACTCACAAAGATACATGAAAAACACAACACACACACACACACACACACACACACCTCCTGAACCCAGAAAAGCAAAGGAGAAGACTAGAGTGTTGCAGCACCTTTCCTGCTGCAGGGGGAGGCAGCGGTCCTCAGGGCTCTTAGACTCAGTCAGGTTTCTGCCCTAGTCTGAACTTCTTTTCCCTTCCAGGGAAGTCCTTCATCTCAAGACTCACTGATCATACAGGTGTGAAAACCTCTGCACACCCGAGCTTGACCACAAAAGACCAAGGAAGACACTGCACATGAAGCCTTCCAATAGCTTTAAGCTGACTCATTCTAGTTTCCTAAGGAACCTTACCCAGGCTCTTCCAGAGAAGAGTTTGATAGCACCAGAGAATGAGAGTGACCCATGGTCATGACCCAACAACTTTGGACCATAACACAGGACATATAATATGAAAATAGCCCCAGATCAGTCAGTAGGAGTCTAGTGAGGTCACCACAGTGTTGTTCTGAAATGCAGCACTCTGTACAACTTTGAGGGGATCTGTACTAAGACATAACCATGCGCACAATAGAGTGAGCATCACAATGTCAGCAAAAAGACAGACTGCAGGTTCTGTGTTGTGAGGCCAATGAGACAAACCAGACATTTCCTGGGAGGTTACCTCAGTTAGGTGAAAGGAAAGATCTACTTTTTATTTTCAAAATAGCTATGGGGTTTGAATTTTCTATTACAAAACACATTAATTCCAAAATAGTCCTTTGTCTTCCTTATAAAAACAAAGCAGTTAGCAATTAGATGAGACAGAAAAAGAGAGGAATCTCTATCTGTGAGGAGACAGGAGATCCAAAGAGCTCTGGCTTGCTGGCTTAAGCAGAACAAAAATATTCTGTTCTAGCAAACAAATGATCCCCAGGCCCTTGTCCTCACTCATTCACTCACTCACTCACTCACTCACTCACTCACTCACTCACTCACTCAAAGCTCTGAGATTCTCCCTATGTGGCTCCCAGCATAGAACCCTTCCTACCGTACTGACATATAGGTGTGTGATATGTGATTTACCAATCTCCCTCAATGAACTGCAGCTTCTACCAAAGCAGGATGGTTTGTTTGCCAGTCAGGTTGTGTCTTCCCAGAGGTTACTCCCTAGAAAGACTTGTGAAGGATCCCAGAAATGAACTCTTAGATGGAATGGAGGTGGTCAGCTGGGTAACTGAGTGGACAATTACATGACGCTGTACGTGTGTGTGTGGTTAGATCAGTGGGCCGCTTGCTCCTGCTGCCTCAGCTTACCTGCTGCTGCTTTGTCAAGAGGTCACCGATCTTCTCAAGGGCCTCCTCACACAGCCTCTTTGTCTCCTCACAGGACTCTTGCAGGAAGATCTGCTCCTGCTGCAGCTTTCTGTTGTCCTCTCTCAACATGGCCACTTTTTCCTTCATCTGTGTCCTTTCCCTCAGAAGCCGGCTGTGGAGGGTGCTTAACCATCACAAACAATGATGAGTTCCAGTCCACCTCCATCTGCCACTCCTACCTACTAAAACCACCTTCCCTGCAAGGTCCCATGTCCTCAGAGAGCCCCAGACTGCAGCCCACATTAGCCATGCCAGTATCACCCAGGTGATGTACCTCTGAGAACAGGATTCTGCACCCCCAACACACACCAGTCCTACACTGATCATGGTTTTGGGAGACCATCATCAGGTATAGAGCAAGCATGTTCTGAGGGAGGACAGAGGACCCAAGAGGAATACATTCCACATCTGTGTCCCATAGCAACAGGCTCTGTAAGTCCCTGTTACACCATTCATGGTGCAAACCATGTTTTCTATCTAGAAGCTCTGGAAGTCGACAGGACAATGTTGGGAGGGGCTCTCAGACTCCTTGCACTTGGGAGAAATCAGTCTGGGAGGACAAGTACAAGGTAAACAAGCTAGAAGCACAGCCCTCACTTTGGTTCAAAGAGAAACAAGTGCAGCAGCTGTCCTTCCAAAGTATAGGGTCCCATCCAATCAGACACTCACCTGTAGGAGTTGGTCTCAGTCAGCTCCTTGCAGTTGGAAGAGGCCTCACTAATTTCCTTGCGGAATCTCTCCAGCTCTGACTTCTCCTTCTGATGATCCATTTTCAGCTCCTCAAGCTCAGAATTCAGCCTGTGGTAGAGCATGGGCCCAGGAACAAGGAACCCCATGAACACAGTCATCAGACCCCCATGAACACATGAATTAAGGCTGTGTCTTGGATTATCCTAGTCCACTGGATGTCACATCCTGAATCCTTGGTACTAGGACCTGTTGATGTATTAGACGTGCTAAGCTGCCCCAGGGACAGAATGGCAGAGCGTCAAGAGGGAGACAGACAGGGCTACAGGAGCTTCCTCAGTCAGCCTGGAGGAACAAAGTAGCTCTTTATAAGATGTCACAGGAGTCTGTGCTATGGGTCTGGGCCTACCTGAAAACTCTGATGTCATGTCTCCTGTCTTCAGAAAAAAAATGTTTATTCTGTGTTCCTGTTGTCACAAGGATACTCAGAACTCATAATCAGGATTTCCATGGAGGAGACCGTACAGTACAATGACTTTATAAACTCCCCAGGGAATTCCATTCAGTCACCAAGGTGAGCCCAAAGAATGAAGGCAGGGATGGTCAAAGTGGGACTCCAGGGCCTCAACACTTATATCACCTGTGACTCTGAGACAGACAAATCCTCTGCCCTGTTACCAATCTCTGACTCACAGGATCTGGATAACGCACACACACACTGTAGGGGAACACCTCAGAGACAGTACAGAACACACCAGACACCACAGCACAAAGGAGATTTATTGACTCAGAAGAGCAATCATGGAATAAGTACACTGCCTCTGAATCAGGCAAGAATTGAGAGCAAGCAACCGGTGTTTTTTCTCAGCAGTGGGTTTTAAAGGAGATAATGGGAAGTCTGTGCTAGGATAAGTTGGTGAGTCCTGATTGGATAGCTAAGCCAGAATAGTCAAATAGTGAATTTTGATTGCTGGATCTTGGTGTTTGGATTCAGGAATGAGTCAGTGGCCAAATAATGGTATGAACCTTGAGGACAAACTTTAGAAACTCGATTTAATGTTATATCAAGTGAGAGGGAAGTGAAAAGGGCAAAATCTGCCACTGCCATATTGGCAATGTTTGGGCCCATTAGCCCTTCACACACATAAATCCATACACAAGTAGAATGCCAGAGACATGCAGGTAGGTGGCATTATCTCAGAGTACAAGGAACAAGGGCAGAGAGATGCCAGGATGATATCAAGGCCTTCCATTCACACACAGAGATAAACCAAGTGGGACCAGGCCCTGCTCCCAGAGCAACCAACAAGAAATCCCCCAGTCAAATACAAAGACTCCCAGCATCTCCCACAAGCCATCACCTGTCAAGGCCTCTTTGAAATGCGTGTAGTGAGCTCACACACTGCTGCCCCATCCATAGAATGTGACTCAGGCCTCAGGCTCTGCTTTTCATTGGGAGGAAGCAGAACAGCCTGTGTCCCCATCTCACTCCTACCCAGGCTTGAGTTCTGCCTCTCAGATGCACTCGGGAAAAGTAGTTTGGGAAGGAGGACACCTTGGAGGTGCAGCCTCAAGTGACATGAGGAATGCTGGGGTGGACACAGGAGGGTCAAGACAGTCACCAGAGAAGTGGACATAATGACTACCTGTTGTTCACGTCATTGTTGGTATTATTGGCCAGGATCGCACGAAGTTCATTCCTTTCATTGGTCATCATCTGAAGCTGAAGGCCTTGTTCATCTGCTGCTCCTGCTCAGTGAGGGAGGCTGAGGTCCGTGCCTTTCCAGTACTCCCTGTAGGTAGACAAACAGCAGTGAATTTGTACAGTTAGATGGTACAGGGCCATGAGAGACCATGTTGAGTCCCCAGAAGAGGCCTGAGGAAGAGGGAATGCGTGGAGCCCACTGCAGACCACAAAGAACAGAACAACTATCCTTATGTTGGGACCCTCACCATTGCTCGATATGTACATCAATGTTGGGAAATATTATTTTCGGGTGTATAACTTTCCTTTATACTGCATTCTTTTAACTATGTGAAGCTACGTTACTGTGCTTTATCTAAAATACCTAATGGTCCTAATAAAGAGATGGACAGCCAGTAGCGAGACATGAGCAGAAATAGGTGGGACTAGCAGGCAGAGAGTATAAACAGAAGGTGAACTCTGAGAGGAGAATAAAGAGGAGCCCAAGAACAAGAGAGGAGGACTCCAGGGGTCAGCCACCAACTCACTCAGCTGCCATGGAATAAGAGTGAGTATAGGACTTATAGAAAAGAAAGATAAAAGCCCAGAGGCAAAAGGTAGTCGGGATAATTTAAGTCAAGAAGAGCTGAGAAGAAACACGCCAAGCTAAGGGCAGGCATTCATAAGAAAGAAGAAGCCTCTGTGTGTGATTTATTTGGGAGCTTGTCTGGGGGACGTGACTCTCCCTCTTTTTTGTGACACACAAGCAAAAGAAATGCAGTGATGGTGAAGGGCAGGGCTGGAACTGGAACCACTGTGGTCCCTCTGTGCTTCCCACACAGAGGCCAAGGGAAAGCAGAGGGCCCTCAGCACTGCAGTTGAAGCCTTGACCATCCCTGGCTCTCTGCCACACACACCATCACAAATCCTCAACTCTGGCTCTGCTCTTTAGTAACTCAGAAAAGCAGAAGAGGATATCGCTTCCCAGAAACTCCCATCTCCTGAGTCCCACTCCTGAAAGGGTCAACTGAAGCCTTCATCCTTCAGGAATCTCTCTGTCCCCTGCCCAGGACTCACTGCACTTTCCCCAGAACCATTCATTTCTTGATGTCTGACTCAGAGACTGAAGGCCATCTTCCCTGGGCCTCTCTCTGGCCTCCCTGCGCTCTCCATCCTGTCTCCCAAGCAGCCTGTTCAGTCGTGTCAGCATGGCTGTGGGTGAACCACACAGGCACTGAACGAATGCCTCAAGGGCAGTTGGCGTTGCCACAACACAGGTGACATCACAGAATTCCAGGCTCTCCAGGATACAGTAGAATGTCCAGGTGGGGGACTGCTGATGTCATATGATACAGCTCTTAACCCCTGCTACCTACTTCACCCAAAAGTGACCTGAAACTAAGGTGCCATTACCAAGAGCCTCTCTGGGGCCACCGGAGAAGCCTTTAGGGACATTTTCTTTCTAAAGCCAGAAATCTAGCCCTCTGCTTCTCACATGTTATGTGAGAAATTGAAAGCTCACTTCCCAACCACTGCCCAGGGATGGCTTTTTCCTCCTTAAGATCCACACTCAAGTAACGTGAAAAACAAAGGATGCTTAGAAATGAGGTCAGGATAAAGGATTAAGTAGAACAGATGAGATCTCTGAAGTGAACAAGCACCTGGTGCAGATCCTCAGACTTTTAGAGATCTGAGGGTTTAAAACAAAGAGAAGACACATAGGAAGTGATGAAAATTTCACTCAGAGTGTCACTAGAGCTCACTCAAGCTATGAGGTTGGTAGTGAAGATGTGACTAGCTCTTGACAGTTCTACCTGGATCCACTGAGTTCAGGGGAGCCTTCAGATAGAGAAAGCAAACAGTCATAGAAAGAGTATGATGACCCCAACCTTGAATCAATAGACTGAGGAAAGAGTAGTGTCGACCAGAGGTCAGTGTGCACCATCTAGAGGAGGCGTTAGCGATGGAGACACAATCTCTCTCTCTCTCTCTCTCTCTCTCTGACACACACACACAAACACAATCATATTTAAATAGAAAAACCGGCACATAATCACACAATTCCGTTGCAGAACATGATGTAGATCACTGCTATGCTGTGTCAACCAGCAAACAAAAGCCAAATTCCTTTGCTGGAGCCACCTGTTCCAATTCCCATGCTCTTCCATAGGTGGCGCTGCTAGCTTTGATGTAAGATACATTAGGAGAGCATGGGAAGTGCAGGCAAGGGGAGAAACTCAGAGTTGTTGCATCATACAGGTGTTTTATAGCCATCGCCACCTTTCTACGTATCCCGACAATCCCTGTAAAGAGAAACCAGTCCATGGTCAGCCTGGAATGCATGTTCTCCAGATATGACCTCTGCCACTGTTGGCACCTGCAGACACCACTGCATGGGATCTTGCCCCTCCCAGGCCCTCCATCAATCCCCATAGTGTCCCTATCTGATACAAGTGGCTGTCCAGCTCCTTCCCACTTTGGCTCCTCTTCTGTCCTCTCTGGATGCTCTGTTACCAAACTAGCCCCAGCTGGCCTGTGGCTCACTTTTCCCTCACATTGGTCCAACCACAATGTTCCTCGTGTTCCTGGATCCTTCCAGCTGTGTCTGGTTCTTGCAGCTTCCATGCTTTTCCACTTCCACACTTCAAAGACACATCGTGACATATAGATTTGTGGGTCTTTCCAGTCCTCAGATGTTTTGGACAAGTCCTTCTTTTCTGTAGCCGATGGTTTTCTGACACTGGAG